ACATGACGTTTGCTCAATTAGAACACAATTAATTTGATTGAATTTATATATAATAAAAATGAAAAAAGTTTGCACAATTTTTTGACAAAAATGTTTTTAGAATAATCTTCTAATTAATTAAGTTATTATTACAGTTAAAATCTGATATCATTTATTGCTTTCAAAAAGTATACAGGTATAGTAAAAAAAATTAATTAACAAGAAAAAAAGCTTACGGATTGTTGGGGTGGGACTAAATCTTGCGTGTGTGCTTGGAGATGTATCTTTGAGTGTCATCTTTATCATGCGTCTCATTTTCAGAGATAAAAAAACGAGTCATGTTTGTATAAAATAAAACTAGACTGTACAGCTTGGATGATAATAATATGCATGTGAATATTGAGAAATACCAATATCTTACATAAATGTATGTATTTCAGATGCCACATTTCGTTAAAGTTTGTTCAGTATCCCGAAATTTAAAAAAAGTTCATTAAAGTTAATGGAGACGTCAATTATTTGACTTAACTTGTTCTTTAAGCTGATGTAAAATTACAAATAAATGGAGCAGTAGTTGTTTTAGAAAACGATGGCACTGAGGTCAAAGATGATTGAAACTCTGTTGGAGGTACAAGATTAATTGTTAATGGTTTTGGAGTACAGTCAGTATTGGACAGCTAGAACTAATGAAGTAACATTTCCTAATGTTAATACACTCAATATTGATTTAATGAATTAAGAAAATACTAATACTAATGAAAGGAATACTACAACTTATGAAATAGAGCATGCCAATGAATCGGATGTTCTTAATATATCCAGAGCTAGTAGCAGAAATAAGCCTTCTTACAGTAATGAAGTAGCCCAAAATGAATTTAACTGAAATAGTTTTACTATTCCATGGTCATCACTTGGCTCTAAAGAGCGTCATCTTCTAGATACCAAAGGAAAAATCGAGTACTAGAAGCCTCTATTATTATTATAAAACTATTAGGTGAGAGAAGAAATAAGCAATTTGATATAATTTAAAAGAAATGAGATGTGTTGCCTCCCAAATGGCAAAACATTATCCAGATACGTTTCAGGATAAGTTAAAAAACGGTAAATCCGATAGTGACGGATTTAATCTACTTCTCACTAGGATAAAAAATAGAAACAACCATCTAAATAGAATTAGACAAATAAGTCCTTTAAGCGACGATTTGTAAATACCACTGAAAATGCGTCGATTATCTCAATCTGTAAAAGCAGGATCACCTCAGTGGCAGCCTACTCTGTCAGAAACAAATGCTGAATCGATTGAACTAGATCGAGTATTTTTACTCAGTTTTGAACACATAAATTTCAACAGTCCAGATGATATTCAAAGATATAAAATCGTTTTTGAAAGATCTTTTCCTAAACAAAGAAAGTTTTTAAATACGTTAGTCAATTTACCCGATGCCGTAAAAATTAAAGATCATTGGCCGTGTTTATTACACAGATTTTTTATGTTTATTCATTTTCGGTTATTAACCGATAGTGACATAGTATTATTGGAAAATAATATTAAAACTGAAATGGAGTCTACACTCAGTATTATTGGAAAATAATATTAAAACTGAAATGGAGTCTACACTCAATTACGGAGCGAATAAGAAGCTCATACAAGTATCCGAGGATCTTTCTAGAGAAACAGAAAATCAACTACAAAGCGCCGAAGACATCGAGGAAAGCATCGAAGAAAATATTACTTTAAAAACGACAGAATCTAATAATGTGGAGCGAAAACTATAGTTGGTACTAGAAGTCATTTTCAAGCAATTCAAGGAGGATCCTGCATCGCTGTTTTTATTGTTGACGGTAAATTTAGCTAGAATAATTATTAGAAAAAAAATTCTCTAAAATAATTTCTTATGTTACTAAATATTACAAACTATTTATATGCTTCTGCTGTCATAAATTTACAGGAAAATTGCAAAATAGACGACGAAGAGTTTCCCCATTGGCACCCATGCATAGCTGTCATTGGTCAGTTGTCTTACAATAGAGCAAACTGTAAATATGTAAACGTCTGAAAAATTGAGCATTGAAGTGAGTAAAATTTTTGCAGTGTACAATAATTTGAAAAATTGTGGTGAATCAGAAACTACAGAAGTTTAAACGTGTCTCTAAAATCATTTTCTAATATATTTTACTTTTTACAACAGGCGGAAAAGCTAAGAAAAATACAAGTACTATTTTTGAAGTAAGCAATGACTCTCGAGAAGGTAATGTTAGCGCTGAAGCTAGTTTTTGGGAGGCACTAAATTATTCAAGTACAAAGACTTCTGTTATAATAGTCGACAAAAATGTTAGAAATTCTTCTTCCTTCTTACTTAAGGCACCAGAGATTGTAAGTTCTCGTCTTTTTCACGAGGACTTTTGGTGGGGCCAACGCGGATCGCTTAGGCATGCTGTTTCTCACAGTGTAATAGTCGACTCCGAAATCCCTGAATTAATTCTAAAATTTATTTCTATTGGATTAATTAAGGACAACGAAGTAATGAAATCAAAACGTATATTTCACGAGTTGTATTTAAAGAAAAAGAAACTTGATTTATTATACTTAGAACGTTTACAAACAAAAGAATGAAGATAGACTCATCAGCTATCGAGCGTATTTACAAATAAAGTTTATCTTATTCGGCGTAGTCAATCGAATACACTTCTCCTCACTAACATATTCAAGAGAGGAAATTCTGAGAATTATACAGGTCGCACTATGTATCGTGTAGCAAATGCTTCGAGGGAGAGAGCACGCGCACCTATTACCTTACAATTCAAGAATTGTATTTTTCACTAATACGGGTTAATTATTTTTAACACTTCAATTCTTTTAAACCCTCACTTATAATTCGAAAACAAAGGTAAAGATTTATTTTTCGGTTTTTAACACTATATTCATCAATCACGAGTTGACTTTATATCACTTAAAATAATCCGATTTCAAATTACGCTACCAGATTTACGGAAAAAAATACACAGAGGCTCGACGCAAAAAAGAAAATCAAAGATTTACCCGCCCGGAAATGCAATAGTCCCAGATTCAGGAAGGAGAATCAAAACACAGATTTAACGAGTACGTATATAAAAAAAAGGAGAACACCGTCTACACCACTCAGCTGGCACTGGGGCTACCACTCAGTTGATATATTAGACAACTGGGGTTTTACCACCCACTCGCCTTAATCAATTCGAGAACGAGTTGAATAGCTTCGTGGCTCAGACGGGATGTCTACTCACACTCTTGAAACAACGAGGCCTGATGTCGCAAAGAGTCCCAAGGCTCCTCAGGTCACCGGGAGAAACCTCCTGTTCCCTAGTAGAATTCAAAAAAAAGACTCCTCTCCCCTTTTACCTCGGTACCCCCGAAAATAGGACCTCGCGACTCTTCCCCCGAAAATATATTGCGCAAAAGTCTTATGGACAGACACCGCGTCGAGCCGCCTGAACTGTTTTCCCTCAAAAATCACCTTTCCAAAAATCAACAAAAGTAGGAGCGCTACAATATGTATGTGTATAAAGATTCTAACGTATACTCATAAGTAAAACCTTGCAAGATGTTGCTTTCGTCCTATTTCATTTACAATCAAAAGTATCCAAAGGAGGGCAGTTGTTTTTTATTGTATTTGCAAGTCAAGTATTTCAAAATAGTTACAACTGAGTATAGCGAAGTTGGAAATCAAGCCAAGGTTAATTAAACTTTAACTATTGTTGAGAATATTAACAAAATTATAAAACAAAACGGAAATACCAATCAAGATGGTATAATACTATAAATATTTAAAGCTTACTATTTTTCTTAAAACAATTAACATATGTATCGTTCAGTTTTTGTTTCAATGTTTCTAATTTTCATCTAATAGTTGAGAATTTTTTTTTTATCCACGAGTAGATAAGTGTCTAATTAGAATGTGAGTTGAAAACTACAATAGATATTGATCGTTGATTATGTTTAAAAATATCTTTAATGTGTGTTCAAAAAATGTTAAAATGTCGATTATTCATTTCAAATGCATGTATTAAAATTAATATGAATTTCATCAACTTACATTTAAAAATTAGTCAGCAAAGTGAGTTATAAAATCAACTATCAATGTAGTATTGAGGAGATTATGTAAATATTTACATTCAGTAAATATTTTAATAAATGAATAAAACAAGAAAAATAATTTGTATTTCTCACTTTAACTAATACGTTACAGAACATCACACAAAATAACGTATGCATACTCTTTTGAATGAATATATTCACCTACCGCTGGACATTTACTAGCTGGGTGGTAATAAAACGAACGCTGTAGTATTTTTTAATTACTACCCCCATCTACTAACGAATTTACTGACTGCATCAGCAAGATTGCCATTTCAAGTAGTAAAATTCACACTTTTGCTGTAAAAGTACTACATTTCTTACTATGGGCCCAAAGTGCAACTGCCGCTTTGAGCCCTCGGGTCACACTTTGCGCCCACGGGCAAAAAAGTTTTTTGCGCCCTCCGGGCCCAAAGTATTTTTCTGCCCTAGGGCCCAAAGTGATTTACCAGGTGCAAAGAGTGCCCACGGGCACAAAATTGCACTTTGTGCCCTCGGTAAGAAAAACATTATTCGCGACTCAGGTACCAACATACAACAATTGCGCCCTTCAGGCGCTCATGTTTGTACTTTGTGTCCTAGTGACGTAATGTACCATTAAAGACAGGTCACTTTTTTACCTTCATTGACTCTAGTAATAGTAAACTGAAAGTTTTTATAGTGTATTTAAATCGATTATTTTTTCAAACAATAAAAAACGATAATTATACTAACTACTTGTGACATTCTTACCACAGTAAATGAGGGCTTGTTTTAGCAAATAAAGAAATATTAATAAGCATTCCGTATTACTATATTCTTATAGTAGCAGCCACCTACTAGTATTATGACTGCTAGTCGAATGTCAGTATGATCGTTTTATATGGTATAAAACTTTTTTTAAATAAGTTAAGAAAGAACTTCTTACCTCTTGTTCCGTCGGTACTATTTTTTGCAGTAACTCCACGTTTTCCAATGACAAAACTTTTAGATCCAATGCATTAACAGCAGCAATTATTTTGTCTACAGGCATTCCCATTTTTCTCCGAGAGATTGCTACAAACGTGATTAAAAGTTTTTTAGATTTAAAGTAGTTGAGAAAGCAAAAATGACACTTGAGTCATCGATATTCTTATGTAGGTTTATCTAAACTTGATAAATACTAGATGTTTTTAAGATAATAAAGTAAATAATGATAAAAATAAATTGCCAACCAATATTGCGTAATCTTGTATGCTCCAGAAGAGAAACATTTTCTGGCCTCTTGAATCTTTTGCTAGGGAAGCTCTGCAGGCCATCGATTGTACTTGTATCACTCAAAAACTGCGACCCAATACCGATTTTAAACCTTTCTTCAAAGTCCGTGAAGTCAATGTAATTGTGTAGACGGTCTTCGTCTAATTCATTAAAAATAGTCCCTCGTACCTGATTTGGCTTCAAGGCTATCCAATTCAATGTGGGTAACTTGTACTTTGTTTGTATCTAAAAAAACAATGTTTGGCTCGTATATTAGAGCACGATGGAGCCCACGATAAATTATCATAGAAAGAAAAATAAGAAAATGAATGAATATCAAGTGCACAAACAAAAGCACAAGTAAATTTATTTATAAAAAAAAAGTTACATGAAAGTAATTGTAATAGTTTTCAATGGTTATCGACTCGCTGGTTACCTTTCGTTTTATGGTCATCGCACCATTAGGTGCCACTAACATGCCAGCAATGGGTGGAGGAACAGGTACAGCTGGCGATGGTCTGCCGTCTTCAAGAAAAACAGGTAGTGGTGGCGGACATGGCGGGGGCGGTGGTGGAGGTGACGGCAATGGAGTTGCTGGTATCGTTGATATTATGGCTTCAGATTGGATCAACGTTGTTATGGCAGAGGGCTGCACCGGTGGTTTGTCCGAGACTGGAAAGCTCCAAAAATCAGTCCATTATGAATAACATTTGAGTAAATTATCATCAGATAGTTTATTCAGTAATTTCTTATTAGTATTAGTATTATTAAGACTCTAACAGGCTTTTTACGTATTCTACATTTTTAATCTCTACCTTTTAATATTTTTTTTCCCCAAACTACAAATCTTTCGTGCGGGCCCCTTGTAAAGTTCCCCTCAGACGACTTGGTCATCTATCCAACTGGTTCTATTTACAGGGCGCAGCGATTGTCTCAAGCACACCTCGGCTATTCTCAAGTTTAATGGAAATATAATTCCCAATAAACCATCTTAACTCGCTGTACCGAACTTTTTATAACTGACAGTGACTTTATAAAATCAGCTGGCCAGGTGATGGCTTCTTTCGAAAAGAAAGCCCCTGGAGGTCCAGAAATCACCAGGAAAATCGACCATTTGTTTTAAAAATCAGATAAGAAGTGTTTCTACATCCTGTATACTTATCCCATCGAAAAAAAAATCTTGATAATTTTCGATGGGATTCGACGCCACAACCCCTTGAGCATCTCTGGCTAAGAGGCTAGCATGCTAACCACTAAGCCCTCGACGGTCTTCAGTAAATTCTTATTATTTTATGCATTCAGTTCTTATTTTATATCAAGTAATTACAGAACAATGAACACTTTTTAAACTTCTATTATTTTCTTAATCAAACAGAAATTAAATTTAAAAAACGTGCACTTTTTTAAAGTAAGCATGTATAGTTACTAATATTATGAGAACAATTTTACAGTGCAGTAATATGCAAAATGGTAATTTAGAATTTCCAGCATTGATAAGCAAAATAAAATCAATTTTTAATTTTTAATGTAAGCCAACCTGCTGTAAAATTATAAAATTCACTAAGTTTACTCATAATGTTTAACTTTCATACTAGTTAGTAAGCAATTTTTACTCCCCTCTTCCCTTTTACCTGGCAATCGCTGGGGGACAAGTAAGCTCAACGTATTACTTTTTTATTTATTTTTTTTTAATAAAGAACACAGCATGTTGTTTTAAAAAAATGAAAACAAAAATCTAATAAATACTACTAAAAAAATTTTTAATTTATCTAATTTAAAATTTTCTTGACTCATAAACAACAATTTCTATAAATTATTGGCTTCTAGGCATTATGGTTGTTAAGACACAACTTATTAACACACGAATTAGCCAAACTACGGGTGACTGACTTATAAATATGCGCTTCTTTTTTACTACTTTACTAAAAAAAGTGTGGGGTGATCTTAATTTTATCTATTTATTTCCTAACCTGGCCGGTATTTGTGAATACTCATACTTTCACCTTTTTTAAAGCATATTTCGTGTCCCTTACAACCAATTCTCTTTCACCCTATATATAGCATTTATTACTGAATAGCCCTTTAGCAAACGAAATCTTTTAGTAAAAACCCTTTTTTGTGTGTATTTTCACCCTATTTCAAATTTACTTTCATATTTATCAATATTAACAAATGTGAGCATAGTATATTATATGTGAATTTTTAGGTAATGAACTCTATAAGATCGATAACATTTTAACAACTACAAATTAAAAAACTCAAGCATAATGGGTATAACATGATTACTTCATCATGTATTTCTTGAGTATACGATCTCAAACATGGATCATTTCCACATTGCTTAAATATTTGTTACCCTTCTTCTAGCAAACTGTATCAATATTGCAGACCCATAATAAGTAAGCGCGCAAAGAGCAAGTATCCGTTGTGGTCATCTATGACTAAGATCACTAGTGCGCCGTACTCATAAGTTCAGCTGATAGTTAAGTATAAAACGAGTTTAATTTATTTTCTTTAATTTTTCTCTTTTTCTAATATTTCGATGCATGTGTACAATAAGGTGTTGTATACAGTTGTCCACAATGTAATATATGTGAGTTTGTAGTTAATATACCCCATGAAATCGATACATTTATAACAACTTTACGTTTGAAAACCCTTATAATGTAAATTAAATGTTTGCACCCAATGATTTTTTCACATCGTTGAACGTTTTTTTTCTCACAATTTCCTTTTACTACTACAATGCTTAAAACTATTCTTACTTCAACAATGACCTTTTTAGCAACTGCATTGACCTCGAGTTTTTAAGTAAACAGACTGAAAATCATGTTTTGCATATCACTCAAATTATTAGGACCTGTTACAATTAATTTTTTTTCTACTTTTTAAAGCTTCTAGATAAATACTTGAATTATTCTCTCTCGTACTTTCATTGAACAAAATTCATAAAAATTTGTTGTATCATGCCTACCGTAGTCATTGCAGCCCTGCGATCAAAGAGCTGTTTATGTCTCTCTTCTTTCGAAACTCTACGATGAATTTATCTACCTCACTAGTATTCTCTGTTCATTTTTTTATGTGTTATCTTGGCTTTATTAATTTTTTTATCCTTCTAACTGTATGAGTAATTTATTGAAATTAATCTGACTAATTTGTTCCGTATTTTTTTGTACTTTCTTTTAACTTTTTCACATTATTTTTACCACCCTATTTCTGCGATATTACTTTCGTAACTTTGTTATCAAGTGTTGTCTGACCTTTGTCATTGCCCTCTTAATTTTTCTTACATGCATCCCCTGGATTTCAGTACTCTACCAGCAAGATTTTCTGCAGTTTTTATACTGATTAAATCATTTATCGGAATAATTTATTATTTACTATGAAGTTGCTAAGAACTTACAATCTTTATGAAATGTTTCAGTTTTGTTAGACAAAAAGTCAGTTATTATCATAACGTTATTTATTTACCTAACCTGACACTACGACTTAAAATTACTATCCTCATTTTAAAGTCACAGTGTTAAAAAATACAGAATAACGCTATTTATGTGCTCTTTATGTATATGTATTTAGAAATGATTTATCGTTGCCCTTAGGCTCAGACATGGCTTTCTTCTACACAAGGATAGTATTTATTAGCCATCGGTGGAAACGTGAGTTATGACCAGATGTCCATACGTATAAACACGTATAACCAGGACCAATTCAATCACACCTATGATCACGTTGACAAAGCGTTAGAAAAACAGTTAATCGACCTTTGAGAATCAACAGCCCAGGCGTGACGGCAAGACTTGAACGGTCACCTATCCAAGTACTAACCACGCCAAATGCTCCTTAACCTCAGAGATTGACGGAACTGTAACTCTACCGTTGCGCCACCAGGAGCACTGCTCTTTATAGATTATGTGTGCTCTACATTCTATTATAACATACGGTTCAATCGTAATATGACTTTTTAAATCAACTACACTTGTTTTATGTAGTAATTTATAAAATCGATACTTTTTACACGATATTGGTATGATAGTAAAAAATTTTTTGTAAATTTACCAGGGAACTGTAAAAATTCACTATATGAAACCATGTACAATCACCACTGAATAAGTAAAACCACAAAAATTTAGTGAGTTTTGCAAAATTTTTGTGATTTAACAACATTTAATATTGGGAATACATGCGACCAATATTGAATGTAGTTGATTTACATGTGAGGTTGTAATTTATTTTACAAGCGACGTAGTAATTATAACACCTTGCAATAACAAGTTTTCGTGTCATAAAAGTGCCAGTATAGCAGTCATGTGTTCCACAATATAATCGCGCATTCTACACGAAAAAAAGATAGAGACTGCGTCGAAGGCAAAGACACGAGAGTTCATTTTATATTTTCTAGTGTAAGGCTTCTTTCAATGATTTACTAGCATAGCCAAGTCTCTGTTCAAAACCAATTGTTGATCTTTTTGGGTAAGTAATTGTTCTTTTTTTACAATTAGATACAACTTGCAATAAACTGGTGTGTTTCAAAGTGAGTTTAGGGATTGTTCATAAGGCTTTAATCTACTTTTGATACCGAATATTAATAATACACAAAAACCGATATCTGATTATCAGGTTAATTTAATATCGAATAAATTCATAATGTTTTCAATATTTTTCCCATTATGCCACAAAAACTGTTCTATAAGACATCAAATACGTTATGGATCGGCATTTCTTCATATGCTGCCTTACACAACACATACTCATTATTGATTTTTACTGTTTTAGCTACCTGTCATGGTCTTGGTTTAATAGCTATTGTGTGGCAAAGTCAACAAAAATGAAAAACTTCTATCTTTTTCGTAAGATTATCAGTACTTTTGTCGCACTCTGTAGGTAATTAAAATTTTTTTAAACAAGTTAACCCACATAAAATGGTTTCTAATAATCTTGTAATACTTATAGATATCCAAGTTATTATATATCTGGTTAATGATGTTACCATAATGATCGACGACAACATTATAGTAGGTACTAAGTAAGTATCAAAAAAAGGAAAAGAACGATGATTTTAAAAAAACTAACAATAATTTTGGAAAACTAATAAAAACTTTGGAAAATAGATGAAAAGTAAACAGAAGCAAGTATTAAACTAAACATCAATGGAACTACAATTGTTTTGGTAAGCAATAGAACGCCGGTTGATGATAGCAAAATTTTGGTGGTGCTTGAAAAGGAGACATTGATACTTTTAAAAGATAACAAAAAATTGAGTGTAGTACGAGCTCACAATCAGAGATTCAAATAAGCATCACCACAGAATTTTCTGTTTCAAATCACAATAGTGATACACAGAGCACCCCATGCCTAACACCAATTCAGATTCCAGCGTCTTCTGAAAATTTCCGTGTGCCGTGGCATTACTTAAAACCACTACGCTAAACATTTTAAATATAAAAGAGAACTTGCATAATGTCAATCTCGAAAAAATTGCGTAGAGAAGTTGTAAATACAACAGTCGCATAAATAAGAGTGATCAGTAAATACCTTAAAAAGAGTAATTTCAGAACTGCTGCCTTTCAATTTCGAGATCGTATTCTCATGTATTTCAGGATTGTTGGGAAAACGAGGAACGAATTGGCAACAGAATCAGAGTCATGTCACAGAAATTAAAAAATCGAAATAGT